TGGTTTCAATGTTGCAGTTCTGGTTCCAAATCAAACCGGGTCTGCCGGACCTTCAGGTGTTAAAACAGCCTAAGAACTTTTCTCGGTACCTGCAGAGGGACCCAGTCTCCGTGACCCGGATCTCCGGTCAGCAGCTTCCAGTCTCCGACCCGGATGGCGGCCTGGACAGACGTGTCCCACAGCGGAGGCAGTGTCGGGGTTCCAGACTGAGATGTGTTCTGGTTCTGGTCGAAGGTCTGCTTGGGTTTTGGTGTTTGCTGCTCTTTGAGCGGTTTCTTTGGTTTGGTGTGAGCCGATCTGGACTGGGACAGGTTGTGGTTCTGTGACGTGGTTCTCTTGGATTTGGTTTTGGATTTGCGGTGGAAAGTGCCAGATGGAGCTCCGCCGGACTGGATTCCAGGCTGCAGCTCGGGTTCTGGTTTCGTCTTGGCTTTTGGGCCAGACTTCAGCTTTAGCTTGGGAACAGGCTTGGATTTCTTTGCAGACTCATGGGGAAAAATCTGAGGTTTCTTGGTGGTTTTTAACCTGAATCCAGACTTTTTATCCAGTTTCTGCTTCAGAACTTTCTTCTGCTTCTTCTTCGGGTTTTGAAACGCCGCTCCTTTGGACGGGATTTCTGCCAAATCAAAGACAATGAAACATGAACAAACCAGTTTTAGAAGGAAAATAACATTTTCAGAAGTTAATGAACGAATATAGGGCTGCAACTAATTTAGCAATCTGTTATTCTGATGATTAATAGATTTTTTTAAAATGGCACATTTTACAAATTTTTCATTTAATCTCAAACTTTTTGTTCATACAGTATTAGAAATACATTAAAGATGCTAATAAACAAATAATTTAATAGCTATTTTAAAATTGTATTGCCTAAAATAAAATGATATAGCATTCCTTTAGTGAATTTGGACTGGATGAAACTAAAACTTTTTTGGTTAAAAAGTTAAAACATATTTACAGACAAGGAAGAACTTTTTATCTAAAATGTTACATATATATTGTAAAGTTTTGGCTTAAGTGATGCTCTGAATATGTTTTATTTTTTACAAATTGGCATTTTTTGGAGTCTGTATACTTCAGCCAACAATTAATCGATTACTAAATTAGTTGACAATTATCTGATTAATCGTTTCAGCCCTAAACCAGTTTGCTTATTATTTTGAACTCAGTTGAAGAAAACTGAAATAAATAAAAACAGGATCTAGGTCACCCTTCACTTGAAGATGCTTGTTGTATTTAGCCAAGTTGTAACAAAGCAATTAAAAGCAGATTTGGACGGTTTTAATTGATTAATCCGATTAATCATTTCAGCCTTGAACGAGTATAAATTAAGTTGATTCTCTTTTAATTCGTCGTACCTGCAGCTGCTTTCTTCCTGGGCTTGTCGTCCCGACTCTTGGATTCAGTAGGATGTTTGTGCAGCGGGTCGATGTTGTGCAGAATCTCTTTTCGCGGAGACTCCTTCCCCTCGCTGATGGCGGGCCAAACGTCAAACCCGTCCAGACCTTGGCTCTGAGCCACAAACGCACACAAGCAAAGATTCATGCAGGAAACTCCCTCATTCCTGTGGCTGGGATTCATTCAGTTAAATACAAATTTCAACAAGGGTTTAGAAACGCACTTATTGCATATGCACACATTTTTTGTCCAGCGTTGTACTGTCACTACGATGGAGTCTAAGGCTAAGAAAAAAAGTTAAATTACAAGAATAAAGCCAAAATATTACAAGAACAAAGTCAGAATAATATAGAAATAGATTTAGACGACAATAAAGTTGAAATAGTACGAGACTAAAGTCATAATAATTACAATAAATTTGTAATAATACGTATTAGTAAAAAAATACGAGAATAAAGTTGTAATAATATAAAAATAGTCATAAAAATACAAAATTAATTTCGTACGTTGAAGTTGAATTAATACGTGAATAAAGTCGTGATAAAACAAAAATAAAGATGAAGTAAAATAAGATGAAAATAAAGTCTTACAAATAACAATGTTATAAAAATACGAGAACAAAAGTTGTACAGCAATGAAGTCAAAATAATCCAAGAATAAATTCATAATATTACCAGAAAAACTAGTCATATTATTCGAACAAAGTAGTAATTCTATAACTCTCACACAAAAAGCAAAAATTGAAAAAGAGGAATATTGAACATCTTAAGTTAAACTTTGGTACTGATTTTACATACAGGAAATAATTCAGTCTTTAACGCATCAGCATGAAATTATTTTCAGTTTATTTCAAAGAAACTTGACAAACTGATCACATAAAATCTTTATAACTCAATTGCAGCTTTGCTCTCTTTAAAACAACTTTTTTCCAGTTATTTTACAACTTTCTTCTTGTAATCTTGAGTCATTTTTCCATTAATATTACGGCCTTATTTACAAAATTAAAGAAAATCTCTCTGTGCCCCTTATTTTCTGTCCTGGTCACAATATGATATCATGTTAAACATAAAAAAATCTGGTTTGAATTAATAGAACAAAGCAAAGTCAGTGAGAACTTTAAATAACCCATAAATAAAATGATGCAATAAAATAAAATACATTTAGTTTCCAAATAAAACCATGAGTGTTGGACGACTGACCTGGGTTATGTTGCCGCCGGCCAGTCCCACCAGTGTGGGGAACCAGTCCGTGATGTGGAGCAGAGCTCTGGAGACCCGCTTCCTTCTCTTCAGCAGCGGGCTGTGGACGAACGCCACGCCGCGCACCCCGCCCTCCCAATACGTGCCCTGCAAACAAACCGCCATGTTTACCTGGAAAGACTTGTAATGCACTGGTGCTGTTAGGGGAAAATTACACTAAAACTGGTATTTTTCATTAATTTACACTCAAAAGTAAAAACATACGCTAATTTTACATTGTGAAAATTACAGATTTAACCAAAGTTGTCTTTCAAGAGTGCTTTTAAAATCTAAAACAACAAAGTTCTCCACGATATTTCTATAGAAGCAGATATGGTTCTAGGAACACAGAAAAAGACACAGGGAAAAATTAGGTTTGAAGGATGGAAGAAAGAAAAAAGATGAAGTATACTGAAGGTAGGAATGGATGTTACTACTGGCAGAAATGACAAAGAAGACGATAGGAAGAGGTAGGAGGATGATGGCACTACATGCTTTTTAATGATTTACTTCCTGAACAAACTCATTCATGTTGAGTTTCTTCTTTAATGGAAGCACTGTGGTTTTTCTGCATTAGTGGAATATTGAAAGAGTTTTGCACACATTTGTAATGGAATTGCATTAGTTGCATTTCCATTGGCCATGCACATCAGATCTTGCACAAATTGGAATTACAAAAATAAATTTGCTTAATGGAAACACACCAATTTTGAAAAAACACATTTTTTGATAGAAGATTTTTGCACTAGGATGAAGTCATTGTTTGGCCATATTAAGAATAGTGTATTTTGAAAAGTGGAAACACTTTTTTTGCATCGTGAGTCGTGATTAACAACTGGATGTTACCACTGGGGGAAACGGCAAAGAAGACGACAGGAAGTGATAGGAGGATGATGGTGCTGCGTGTTTTATACAACATCTCCAATGTTTTTAGAAGATTTAAAATTGATCTTAGTATGTTTGCTACTCACATCCAATTGATTGCATTAAAAATAAAGTACTTTATTGTTTACCTTCCTCCCTCTTAGCGGCCAGTTGCTCCCTCCGGTGAAAGGCTGGGCTCCGTTGTCGGTGGAGTAGATGATCACGCTGTTCCTGTAGTATCCATACTTCCTGAGGGCGTAGGTCACATTTCGGACGGCTTCGTCCACCGTGGAAACCATGGCGGCGAACTTGCGCCTGGCGACGTTAGCCATGTTGCGGTAGGGGTAGATGTAGGACTTGGGAGGCTGCAGAGGAGTGTGAACTGCCTGGAGGAAAATAATTCAAGTCTTTTCAGATTCAGACTAACTTTATTTTGGTAAATTAACAACATTACAAAGAAGAAAACAAAATAAAACACTATTTTACAAACTAATTGTTTAAAAAAACAATTAGTTTTTTTTTGTCCTTATGCTTTCCTGTCCTATTCATAGACTCAGCAGGCTATATATAAGTACACATATTCATATTTAAATATGCATGTTTATATATATCTATATATATCTATATATATCCACACAACAGTATACGCTTTTATAATTTGACATCTTAAGGCTCTTTTTAGAGCTCACCAAAAAAGAGATCATGATTCAATGCATAGTTTTCATGTGACGTCTTACATCCGGGAACTTTGTAGCTGACAGCCATCTTGGTAGGTTTCTGTAACTAACTGTCCTGACCGTTACTATGTAGTTGCTATGACAGTAATAAAGAAGCTACATTCTCTGCCTTATACGAGTTTATCCTTTTATGACAGCAGTGATATTGTTGATACACTTTGGTCAATAGAGTTAATATACTTTCTTTTTATTGGTTTTTATTGTGCTTGCCTACCAAGATGGTGATTCAGTGGCATGAATCACTTCTGTAACCCAGGTTGAAATAGCCTCTTCATAAAAATAATAGTAAATTAGATAAATTGGAAATAAATAAATGGGAGAATAAATAGGGAATTAATCGATCTTAAAATTGTTAAAAATATATATAAAAAGAGCAACAATTAGAGACATTAAAATTGCTGTACTTTGATTTTTCTTTGATATTTTAATTGATTAGAGAAACTGTATAAACCAGTTTTGCTTTGTCAGCTAACTCTCTTATTCTGAAGGGTTACATTTATGTGACTAGTTTCAGCCAATCGGGTTGCTGCGTTCTCTGACGTGAGAGAGAGAAGAAGCAGAGAGCGTAAAGCAAGCAGAGAGCGCAAATGCAAACGGGATTGTGCTTGAAAAAAAAAAGCGAGACAGATAAGAGAAATTGACCACTCGTAGCTGACTTGTTTTGTTTTGTCTTATTTCTTGAGAAGAAGCTTTTTGCATTATTATTTTTTCCTCACCCTGACTGCGTTCGGGATCATCTTTGTGTGTTGTGGAACTGGACTTGGCTTTTTTTGTTTTTGTTTGTCTTTTTTTATTTTCTTACGTTCGGCTGGGATTTGGACTAAGGAGTCTCGGATCATCACTGAATTGGATCTTCCTAAGGAGAACGAGATGGCGAGCCAACCCGGGAGCTTAGTGACCATCCAGTAGGAGCTACGCCTTCTGCTGGACATTGCCAACCCCGTAACTTGGTATGACCTGCCTATGTTGTTGTGCGCATTTGCAGTGGGTCACTGAAACAGAATTAACTGTTGGATCATCGGAGGAAACAAGACATCAGTCTGAAGCACAGTTGACCTGTCCTTGCTGAATTGCTCTGCTGTGTTGTTGTTTTGTTGTTATTGTTTTGTTTTTAACTCCTTAAGGGAAACACCAAAGAACTAAAATAGATTAAACAGATTAGAACAAACTGTAAATTAAAACAGATAAATAGTATTAACTAGAACTTAAATAGAACTATAACCTAGGTAAAATAAATAGTATCCTTAATTTAGATTTATAAAATATTCTAAAAGCAGTGGTGGGAAGTAACGAAGTACAAGTACTTCGTGTATCTGTACTTTACTTAAGTAGATTTAATAATGGGTACTTTCTTCTTTTACTCCACTACATTTTACAGTAAGTATCTGTACTTTCTACTTCACTACATTTCTGCAAAACTGTCGCGTTACTCGTTACATCCAAGTCGTGTTGCTCTTTTTGTCCGTTATAATGTGAAGTTCAGGGTCTTAAGGTGGCGCCGT